GCTCTAGTTTTCTGCTGGGAGCGCCAACGCCACTTCTCTCCCAGATTGCTGAATGGAATATTTGTTGGTTCGAAATCCTTTAGGAGAGTGATATCAGCATAAAAGGGCGGACATTCGGCCTTCTGCCTTTTTCCTAACCTGAAAGAAACTGAGTAAAGACTTGTGAGCAAGTGGAGTGCGACAGTATCGGAACTTCAAGACTATCTAAGTTATCACATAGTTAACACACGAATGGAATACCGTACTGCACTGCTGTATCCTCCACATCTGCAGCTGAAATACGCTAAGTGTCTGGGACTTTGTTCGAGCATGGCCAAGGATGTTTATTCGAGGAGTCGATTCGAGACAACTGTCACCTTGTCTCGTGTTGGGCAAAGACATAACTACAAATGTCTTGTAATAAAAGTATCTCACCAAACAGGAGCCGTCCAAGTTCAAACGATGTATGTATACTCCTCATTCCTGAGTCGGGGTAGGCGTGGCATTTGGACATGGCATAGGATGGGTGGGTTACTCGTGGGATATTTCAACTCGAGACAACTGCCATCTTGTTCTATGGTGGACAGAGACATGACCACAATTGTTTCAAAATGAAAATATCTCACCAGAAGCACAGCCACCGCCACGTTTAGTTGAACGCAGCCACGCCCTAGTTCGCAGCCAACGTCCCGGCATAGGAATTCCGACGTGGGTACGTGAGCCACGTCTAACGCATCTCCTTGTCCGTGTTTGGAGTGGTGCCTCAAGGATCAGCCTCACGACAGACCTTATGGCAGTAGAAGGATCACGTTCACGGTTACGGCTGATTGCCTATCCTTGGGTGTAGCTCCTGATGTATTGTCAAAGCGATCCGTCCTACGATGAAGTTTTTGATATTCTGCTGGAACTTCCAAATTGCTTTGAGGATTTCTTGAGTGGATCTGGACGGCGCAGGCATTGGCAGAAAAAAAGTTACATAACTTGATGAGAACTCAGGCGGAAGGGTGCTCGACGACTTGTGTTCTTCCTTACATTAAACATATGCGAATGCAAAATTTCGTTTATAATAGACCTATTGATTACCGACTAAGCGAGTCAAACTAAACGGACATAACTGATGTAATTTGGAAATTTTTACCGGAATCCAACTCAACTCAGCTACTTTCAGGTTACTGTCAATACATCCTTACTGAATTCACTAATGGGTCATTTAGAAAACGCGTACCAACCTGTGTAAATTGGGTACAAAAGGTTTCCTCCATTTGAAGGCAGAGCTCAAGATCATTCACCATCACAGATAGTGGATTAGGGGTTTGCATATAGACGACAGGGTGCTGAGCAACTCGATGGTGAAGAAGAAGGCAGAAAAAAATGCCAACTGCCCTAAGAGAGAATCCATTTCGCGGATTCTATTTTGCGACGTCCCGAATTACTCCATCTTCAACATACGCATCAATCCGCACACCTGTTTCTTCGATAAGAACCCTACGACAGCAGCAGACAGTGGCAATTGTTAAACTTTTTGTCATGCAAGCTTCGTCTTTCACCTGAAGGCCGGGCAATTGAAGGCGGAATCTGGAGGCGGAGTCACTGGAAAAAAGGAGGCGTCACTGAACCCATACTGCGTTATAGCGCCCCTCCCTTACACTTTTTTGCCGCGAAACTGCGTACAAGGGCTGTTGTCCGCGGGCCATACTACCCTAGCGCAAGGGGTCAATATTTTCAAACTTCCACATCCTAATGGCGGACCGTGCGTCTAAGCCGGCTACAATTTCGAATGGTTTTCCGGATGCATGGGCACATCCCAGGAATGTAAAATGATCAATGCGTGGTCGACAAGCTCTTGTGGCTCTTTGCATTTTTGCTTTTTCATACGTTGGCAACAAATTGTAGACGCCTGTACCGACAAACGGACGACTCCGCCACTTCCACGGATCATTGTAAACTTCAAATTACTGTTTGCCAGCGTCTACCAGCGATCAGCAGCTTCCGAGGTGGAATGGTGATAGGAGAGTAGCAGACAGCTGGTACCCTTCTATCGCCCAATATCTATAGCAACAGTCTGTTGCTAGTGGGTGGTGGACACAGGTAGACGCTGGCAGACACTTGCAGACGCTAGATTGATATCTCTACTTTCCTAGTCGCTGACGCTGCTGGATGCTCTAAATGCTGGTGGACGACAATGGTCGCTGGCGAACCCTGCCGCAAAGTATGAACGCAGCCTACACGCTGGTACACTACGCTCCGTACCTAGCCATGCCTACGTCAGAGGGATTTTGCGATTCTCAGCAGAACATTTTTATTCATCCATCTTTTTAGCCGCACCAAGTAGTCCTACCCACTAACCATAAGAGGGGCTCCGCCCATTTCTGTGAAACGCCTTGACTCAACGCTATAGAGTCTCTCTCGTCGCTCGGGATAAACCAGACAAGGTTGTGGTGCCAAACTAGCGCTTATGAGCATTCAATGGCGCCGGCGTTAGAAAAATCCTATATTCGTAGGGAGAACGCCAAAGAACCTTGCTAACGATTTTTCGATTTTGGAGAAAAAGTGTTCATTTCCTATGTTTGATTTCCCAACGAATTTGCATTAATCGTATAGCTTTCGGCAGTGCAGGTTCGATGGCCGAGTCGGAAGGCCATTCGAAGTCAGTTAGCTAGACAGCAAGGCATCTCCGGCGAGACAACGGCCAGTTACGAATTGGTCGCTGGCCAATTTCAGCCGTAGTCATGTGCGTTCGAACGGCGGCGAGTGCCTGATCAATACAATTGGCCAGGAGCCCTGTCGGCTAGCATGGGCGCGGCCAGCCAGCCAGCCACGGCGGCCAGCGATTATGTTGTGGCTGGCTGTGCCGCATTCGCTTGCCTGGCTAATATTTTCGTTTATTTCGGCTTCAGCTGACACATCACAACGAAACCCAGAACCGGCTACATCTCACCTCTATTTCAAGTTTTTTTCAGAATTGTTTCGATTTTATGCCTTGAACCGTCATAACCTGTCCACATCCGGCTGCCAGCCTTGTGGCGGAGCTTTCTACCTTTTGAGGTTTCCTGGACCCTTCTCTTCTTCCTGTATTGTGAGTTCGTTGTTCATGCCTGATATGACCCATATCTTTTCGCAGTGCCCTGCTCGACCAAGCCGAGCTCTCCCTCTTACGCTCCGAGTATGAACATTTGTCTAACCTCACGGTCACGCCAAGTACCTCATCAGCCGGTTCGTCCTATTCAGAGAATGCATCATTCTGCTCTCTCCGGTGCGCTTAAGTACGACTATATCTTTCAGTTTTGAGGGCCAGTATTAGCGCAGGAATAGAGCGATCGATTGGGTTGAGCAAATGTGATCGTTCTATCGATGCCTGCTGGTTTCCAACGACAATGACGTTGTGTGGCTGCCACCTCTTGGCCTTGATGGGGGCTAGCCGGACACGTGTCCGGCAGCCAGAAACATATGACGCGGATTCAGAATCTTCTGTTATAAAACCGTCCCCTGTGAAGCGTGTTTAAATTCATCGTCAAATTCCAAACTATGAGTACTCTCCTCATCATTACGGACTGTCGGGGCGTATCAGCCAGTAGGAGTGCGCACACTGTTTGAAGCCGTTCTCAGCCTTTTCGTTGAAACGCGTATGCGACAAAAAGTGGTAGAAAACGAGTAATACGAAGGATATAATGCTGTCATGTCATTTGCTCGCTTCAACAACTGGTGCAGAAAGACTTTGGAACCGCGGAAAACGCAGCCGCACTGACCCGCCCCGACAGTCCGTAATGATGAGGAGTATACATATACGCCAGTATAAACCACAACCACAGTCAGCCATGTCAGCCATCGTACGAGCATGGGGGGGGGGTCGTACCAGCCCTTGAAAAA